AGTATTTACTGGATTCATCTAACCCAACATTATAAAAGAACATTCAGAATTAAATATATGAAGTGATTGAAAATCCCCCACTTTTTTTATAATAATTTTTCTTTAGCTCACAATTCTAAAATGGAGTTGCTCGAATGCGAATAAACCAAACTACTCAACTGAAACTAATAGCCTAATAGAGATTATTACAATTGGCAATTTAGTTAATCAAGCTACCATATATCTCAGGTTCCTAGATTGAATTCTAGTAATAGAAAACAATCCACATTTTCATTTTCCAAGATTTCAGCAAATTAATTATTCTGCTATAATAGTGTTCAGAACTACTTCATCAGCGAATAGAGTACTTATAAAAAGAAAAACATGCTTCACCAAAACATGGCTATTGTCTTTGGGGAATTACCATATTTGAGGAAACTAAAACCATAAATATAATATATTTCAAAATGAAGACAATTAGATTATTGGCTTTTTCCCGGCAGTTAAAGAAAGAGTATATCTTTTGGATGCAGAAACCATTGAGGAGATCGACACTGCCCAGCTCAATATTAGATAAGATAAACAAATTATGCCTCAATGCAAAGAAAGAAGGAGAAGTACTTAAACCATGTCAGACATAGGTTGGAGCATGTAACACAATTTCAAAATACAACATCCAGAACATTTACGAACCTTTCCCTGGTAATTAAGGCAATGTTGATTAAAAAGAGCATTGAGTTCTGCAAAAGCAAAAATTAAAAATAGCAACAAAGGTGCAGATCAGAAATAAATTATATAAATATTTCAGACAAACAGAGCAATATTTCAATGTAGCATTAATGATAAAAAAAAAAATATGCTCCAATGTTAAACAAAGGGAAAGAAGAAAGTGAGAATATAAGACAAGAAAAAAGAACATAAACACACATAAATGAATGCCGGGCTGTCATTAAATAAATTGACTGGATAAAAAATCACAGGTCTACCTATTTCAGGCAATGTAACGCAGACAGGTGCATAAATCTATCTATATGATATTATCACTACAGGAAAATAACAAAAGAAATATTCCATATCCATTACCTGGATTTGCATGAGAACTCAAAATTATTGTTTGCCGATAGAACCGTGCTTGTCCATCCAGGTACCTGATAATGAAGAAACATTTGCAGCAAAAAGATAAATGAGAGGTGGAAGAGAAATACATAGCTTAAAATATAAGTTTAAATATATTTGATATATATAAATTCAAATATATTTGAATTTATGTTATTATGTTTTTTGTATTTAAATTTTTTTAATTAAATAATCAATATATTTACAAAATAATTATTTAATATTATTATAATTATATTGGTGGATAAAAAATAAAAATATAATTTTAGAGGTTAATAAAAATTCAAAACGTAAAATAAAAATAAAAATAAAAATAAAATTAACTACTATTATTTTTAATTTTTAGAATCGGTCAAATAGTTGGATTCCTTTGCACGAACTGGTTTTCAATGAACCAGCCAGAATTGGTTGATTGGATTGATCAATTGTGTGTGTGTGTGTATATATATATATATATGAATTTAAAATTATATATCAAATATATATAATTTAAAATTCATATTTATATATTTTTATTTTTGATAGATTTGATATATAATTTTAAATTGGTTGATCGGACTGGTCAATTTTATTATTTGATATATTTTTTAAATTCATATTTATATATATTTTTAATATAACACAAATATAAACTTAAATTCATAGTTGATATATGCCAAAAATATTTTTTATTAAATCATATTTTTTAAATTCATATTTGATATATAACAAAAATATTTTTTTATTAATTCATATTTGATATATAACAAAAATATTTATATATTTTTTAATATAAAAAAATATAAACTTAAATATATTTGATATATATAAATTCAAATAAATTTAAATTTATATTATTATTAATATATTAAAAATTTTAATTGCAATAGAATATTTTCTATATTTTAAATATTTTTAATTAAATAATAAATATATTTAAAAAATCATCATTTAATTTCACTATGATTATAGTGGTTGATAAAAAATAAAAATATAACTCTAAAGGTGAATAAAATTATAAAAAATAAAAATAAAAATGAAAAGTTATTTTTATATATATCAAATATGAGAAAATTGCAAATTTAGTCCCACAATTGCAATTTTAGTCCTTAGAGTTAACGGTGACTTAACAACAGTTAGATTTGGGACCAATTGTGCAACAAAAATTACTTAAGGACTGAAATTAGGCCTTTTAGGACTAAAATTTCAACCGTCTCAATCTAACATGACCAAATTTGCAATTTGCAATTTCCTCGTACAAAATTAACAAAGCCTTTTCAGTTTTCCCTCATCAGTCGGTACTCGGGATAACCATTAACCACCACTACGCCGGCGGAGCAATCACGGCGGCATGACCCGGAACAAAGCCCTTAAAAAACTCTCTGAACCCTGGAACCATCACCAAACGCCCCCTCCGGCCCTCCGACTCCCGGACGCCTCGCCATCTCTCTCCGCCGTAAACCCATCCACCACCGCCGCCGCCGCCCGAGCACAACTAACCCGTCTCACCGCGACTTTCGATTCGTACCTCAAACAGAGAACAGCCGCCGTCACGCCTAGGGACCTCCTTCACTTCCTCAGATCCCGCCTCCGCCACAACCCCGCCCTCGGCCATCTGGACTACCACCTCTTCCGCTACGCCGCGACGCTCGACTCGTTCCGCCACGACCACCACACGTTTGAGTACATGCTCCGATCCCTCGCCTCCAGCGACCGCCTCGATTCCCTGCGATCTCTCCTCGAGTTCATAGCCTCCAACCCCTGCCCCTGCTCGGACGGCATCTTCTCTTGCCCTAAAATCGAGTCCATTTTCCGTGTCTCGATTAGCTCGTTCTGTAGATCTGGACGACTCGATGACGCGCTCTATTCCTTTGATATCATGAGAAGGTTAATCGACGGTAAGCCAGATGTTGCTCTGTACAATATTGTGGTCCAAGGTTTTGTTAAACTTGGGAAAGTGGAAAAAGGAGTGGAATTTTACGAAAAGATGATCCGGGACAGAGTTAAACCAGATGTAGTCACTTTTAACACATTGATTAGTGGGTACTGTAGGAATAGCAAATTCGATCAGGCATTAGAGGTGTTTGGTGAGATGAAAGAAAAAGGATGCCTTCCAAATGTGGTTAGTTTCAACACCTTGATTAAAGGATTCTTTCGTGATGGGAAGGCCGAAAGGGCAGTCATGATGGCACGTGAGATGATTGAGTTGGGATGTGATTTTTCTTGCGTGACTTGTGATATCTTGGTAGACGGGCTTAGTAGAAGGGGGAAAATAATGGTGGCGGCTGACTTGATGATCGAGTTCTTGAGGAAAGGGGTTTTGCCGAAAGAGTTCGATTCTTTTGTGCTGGTTGAGATGCTTTGTATAGAAGGGAAGGCGAAAAGGGCTTTAGAGTTGATGGATGAGTTGTGGGACAAGGGCTATAAGCCAAGTTCGATTGTGTGCACGACTCTAGTTGAGGGTTTGCGTGGGGTGGGAATGATTGAGAATTCGGTTGGTTTAGTGAGAAGGATGCTCGAAGATGAAATTATTCCGGATATTGTGACGTTTAGTTGTGTGCTTCGTGATATGTGTGGGGCGGGAAGTGCGCGGGAAGCAAATGAGTTACGGTTGTTGGCTTGTAAAAAGGGTTTGAATTCCGATGCTATGGTGTATAGAATTTTGGTCTTAGGTTGTGTTGAAGAAGGTCGAAAGGATGAGGGTGAGGTTTTGGTGAATGAGATGTTGGATAGAGGGTTTTTGCCTGATATTGCTAGTTACAACATGTTGATGGATAGGCTTGCGAAATCCAAAGCTTCTTGCCGTGACTGACGATGATGTGCCAGAAAAATTGGTTGTCACATTGAACTTGCTGTTTTGTAAGAGTGAGATGAGAAAATTGCATGCTTGGCTAAATTATGCGCCTTGTGAATTAATTTCTTGAACTAATGATCAAGGAAAAACTGTGGAAGAATGATTGTCTGTGAAACAAAAATGTAAGGGAGATAATACTTGGTTCAATGTCATCAAGTGAAAGCTGTAACTGTAACTGAGTGTGATATCTAATGGAAAAGATCTTGTAGAAAGTTGATCAAAGCTTCTCGCAACTGCTGCACGTTTCTTGATGCCTGGCTGAGCTATGTATTGAAAGTATTTTGTAATTCTTTTGAATAATGAACAAAAGTTGAGCATGTTTGGAATCAATTTCCATGGAGGCCTCCAGATTTTATGGTTCTATATGTATGCACTTCTAAAAAAACAAACGAGTTCTAGTGATGGGCGGTTTTTCATTTTTGAATGAAATTTTAAGACTAGTCCCTTTTACTGCCGATACTATGACAAAATGCGACTGTTCCATTTCACTCAACTTGCCTTTACTTGAATAGTATAACAAACAAGTCAATGTTTTCTTTGTTTTATGCTATGTTATTCAATTATAATGCCAAGTAAAAGCTCATCTGCATTATTATTTTTGTTTTCTGAGGAAGCTAACTGGCTGTAATTCAGAACCTCTCCAATTGAAATCCCAGCAGATCCTTCAAAGCATAATTGAGAGTTTCAGGATCTCCCAAACTAAAATCCAAGCAGATGCATCTAAGATTAACTGAGAGTTTCCCATATGTAATTTTGTTTTGTTTAATGTCATTTGATTTGACTATTTTGTTCAATATTGGTTCCGATAGGTGATTATAGGTTAGCCGATTGTAACAACTGATAAAGTTAATATCGGATTACACTAGCTTATTTGACTAGCACTTTTTATTAGCAAATTGTATAATATTTTTATTCATTTTATTTATTTTTAATAAAAATTTATATAATTCATTTATTTTGAATAATTAAAGTATCAACTTAAAATAATAATTAGTCGGAAATTTTAGATGTACAATTTTTTGAGTTGATAATAATCTAATTTAATTTGTTCCAACTAACAGTACATATGGACAAGAACATATTGAGGGGTATAAATGTAAATAACGAATGTCATCCTCTTCCAGTCCCGCTCTCCTATCAGCTAGTCCTCCACACAGCTTTGCGTCTTCACCACCAGAAAATAAAAACACACGACACGAGCACTTTCACAGTTTCACTTGTAAAAATCCAAACAGATAAATATCTTCCATCCATGGACGAAAACGCAGGCACAAAAAGATAGCAGGTAGTCCATAAAATCTGCAGAGCGAGGTGCAATGGCATCCTTGTCCGCTTACATATTCATCCACACCCCAAAATCGCACTCCTTAACCCTCTCGCGCAGAACATTTAAATCCGCACACTTCAACTGCGTCACTCATCTGGCGGCGCCAATCCTTCCCTCTTCCGCGAAGCACAGGAGCCGGAGATCCTCGGTTGCCGTAATTAGGGCTAGCAGCAGCAGCAGCGGTGTTGATGTCGTCACGTCAGCAATCAGGCCTGGCGGCGCCGTCGAGAGCGATAAATTGCCGTCCGACGTGCGGAAGAGAGCTATGGATGCCATTGATTCCAGCGGGAGGCGAGTCACAATCGGTGATGTGGCGAGTAAGGCCGGGTTGAAGCTGAATGAAGCTCAGAAAGCTCTTCAAGCCCTGGCTGCCGATACCAATGGCTTCTTGGAGGTGTTTTTTTTCGTGTTTTTATGAATAATTTTGTTGATGGGATGTTTTATTTTGTGGGGGAGATGCTGAATGATTATGATTGTGATGTTTCTTTCTGCAATAGGTGTCAGATGAAGGAGATGTTTTGTATGTTTTCCCCAAGGATTATAGATCAAAACTTGCTGCTAAATCGTTTGGGATGAAGATTGAACCTTTGTTGGAGAAGGGAAAGGTATTGACTGTATATTTCCATAGGACTTTTACTTGTTTTAAATTGTTAAATTTTAATTCAAGTGAATTTTGGTTGACAGATGGCGGTGGAGTATTTTGTGAGAGTTTCATTCGGGACAGCACTTATTGCATCCATTGTTCTTGTTTATACCACGATTATTGCCATAGCCTCGAGTAGTCGGTATATGCCTCTGCATTTCTAGTCATTACTTAGTTTTGGAGATGAGACAATACTTATTATTTGATCTTGACATTTTGTCATAGTTTTGATATTCCTACTCATGGTTTCGAGCAGTGATTCGGATGACCGTGGCAGACGGGGAAGATCATATGACAGTGGATTTACTTTCTATTTAAGTCCAACAGATTTATTCTGGTAAGACGTCTTACCGATTTTTTTCTACAGTGTATAAAGGTATCAAATGTTCAGAGTGGTAATAATTCAACATTCTAAGAAGCTTATTCTTAATGGTTGGACTTCTTTGCTAAGTGACGACCATTGTTTGCTTGTCACTACAAACCAGTTTTTCTTAGCCTCCGAGAAATTGATTGTTTTCCATCAGATTTTAAGTTACTTTTAGATACATTAGTTTGCTTCCGGGCCAATCTAATATTAATATATTAACTGCTAAACAGATGTGAATGAATTGGTAGCTGGGTCCATCTGTATGTGGTCTACATATGTGTATAGATGGGGTCACCTTAACAGTCAGAAATGAATTTTCATCTGCCATATTTTACAGTGAAGTTTCTTTTAGTATGAAAATTGTTGTAGCATTTCACTACTTATAAAAAAATGGAACTTCATCTTGGTAGATGGGCAATGAGAGGTGATGAGCAAAGGGGATGGTTTGAAGGGCTAACATGACTTTTAGCCTTTATGCTCATATTTAGTTCAAACTCAAAGGAATCACCCAGAAGCCTCACCTATTTAAAAGGAAATGATATTTTTTTGGTGTTAAGAGTACACAACAAAATGAATGGTTGGTTATTCCCCATGACATTTTGAGTTTTCTTTCTTAGAATAATAGGCAGAGCTTGTAAGTTGAAAGTCTATAACCACCAAGGAAATCAACAATAAGGCTAATCACGAGTAAGACAAGAAGCAGAATTCACTGGCCGATTCATCCAGCATAAATCTGACTTGGCTATCGATGAAATTGTATATTTTGATGACTTTTTCATACTGCAGAGAAATGTGTAGTGACTATTCCCAATTCACCTATCTAATTCCTTTATCCAGGTATTGGGATCCGTATTATTACAGGAGGCGTAGAGTACGGGAAGATGATGGTGGAATGAACTTCATTGAATCTGTGAGTTTTTTTTTTTTTTTTCCGCNCTAAGCTGTAGATTGTGTAATCATGGCATTCTCACACATTTTGATGGCGAATTTTTATCCCTCACTTCTCAGGTTTTCTCCTTTGTGTTTGGTGATGGTGATCCCAATCAAGGGATTGAAGAAGAGAGGTGGAAGTTGGTAATAATCGGGCACTGATTTCAGTGGGTCCGTTACTTTTAATATATTTTATGTTTCTTTTTTGGCATTATGTTGATTATACAGTTGTTCCTCATCTTTAAATTTTGTCAATCTTCTTTGGAGTGTGAGTTCCTAATAATACCAAACAGATACTGTTAATTAACATATTTTCTTGTATTGTCCATGTCTTGTTTTTCAAATCCTTCACGGATATAATAGCTCGGACAGACATGCGAAGATCTAAAATAGAACAGCTTGATGAATAGAAGATGATTACAAATTTTGAGGAACAGTGCACCTTTACCCCAAAGAGAGGATTTGTAAAATTAGTCACAGTAGGAAAAAATTGCAATTTCAATTGCATCGTGAATGTGAAGTGGTTTGATTAGTTATTATCCATCTACCTGTTAAGAGCTATATTTTAGTGATATTTCTTACCCAAATATTTTGCAGATAGGACAATACATAGCAACAAATGGTGGTACTGTCACAGCAGAAGAACTTGCTCCATATCTTGATGTAGAGAATGCTGAGAAGAAGGTACTGTAAATTTAGATGAGGAGCCAGATCTTTAATTTGGCTCTTTATCTCGGAAACTCCCAGATGTTCTAGCTTTCCAGTTTGTCGTTGGCTAGTTTAGAGTCGCACATCATAGTTTGTCAATGCCATTTAATTTGGCTATATGAATGATTCCAAGTTTAATTACTAGAAAAACTGCCTGTCCTTGTTTACCAATATATCTAAGTTGTCCTTGTCCTATTAAGTGAGTTTCTCTACACGTTCGTACTTTTATGTGTATGTTTGTTTGGTTTTATTTGTGTTGTTGGTGTGATCACCTTTTTATATCTGTTTGGTTATAATTATGTTATATTCAATTGCTCCAGGATGATGACTCATACATACTACCGGTGCTACTAAGATTCGATGGTCAGCCAGAAGTAGATGAAGAGGTTTGCCCAAATTTGGTTTTCCACCTAAGTGTGCTTTGACATAATATATTGAAGGATGGTTTTGATAATTCTTTATAGAGAAAGTATCAGATCTGTGCTTATAGTTCCTAGCAGTCAATACTATTGTAGTGGAGACACATTTGGTTTTTAATTGCTTCATGGAATGTTCATCATCTATATGCCTATGATTTTTGCACTGTGTCAAAAGAGATGCATACTGTCTATTTTCTCAAATGGTTCATCAACTTGGCTGCTAGAACTAAACTAAGTTGTCTATCTTTGTGGTTTCCATCAAAGTTTCATGGGTTTCTAGTTCATGCACAGAGGAAAGCAGGAAGATCTCATTTTTTCAAAACTCTCACTTCACCTTTGTGGTTTCCTTTTTTATAACTTATTTGCAATATAATTAAACACGCAAGTCAGAAACAACTTTTTTATATGTCTAATGCTATCAGCAACTACTGAATCAACTTACTGTGGACTTGGTATATGATACATATTAATTAGATATATCTTTTTTTCTTCAATTATATGTACTTTACAGGGGAATATTTTATACCGTTTTCCTTCACTACAACGCACTGCGGCTCCACAGAGGAGTGGACGGAAAGAATATGTTGGAAGAAAATGGTCTGATTTGGATGGAATTCGAAAGTTCTTTAAGGAAAATAAATGGAAATTTAGGTAATATTTTTTTTCCTGGATCCTCTTTTCAGTAGTAACTTGGTCAATGCATGCATCTTCAGATGGTGATATGGTATTGGACTTTTTCCTGCAGCAAAACCAGTTCTTCAGAGAGGGCAATGGTGATTGGTCTTGGAGGCCTAAATCTATTTGGGGTCCTGATTCTAGGCTCCATGTTGAAGTAATTTTTATTTTTATTTTTATTTTTTTTTTCCGTGCTTTTTCTTTAGTTAGTTTTAAACATTTTAACTTTCTTTTTATGACATTTTGTTGAAACATTTACTTGAAGGACAATGACAGTTAGCCCCAGTGGGTTCGTCTCATTTGTCTCTGAAATATTTCCCCTACTTCAGGTATGTTTCTGTTGATGTTTACTTACGTGGTTGAATTGCTCTAGACCAACTGAAACTAAAACAAGCTTTGAGTTTCATGGATGATGATAATCCTTGATCAGTCAATATTTTGGTAAATAAAAGCAAAAAAGAAAAATCTGTACTACTGACAAAGATCTTTTTTCTATTTACATTTCTGTAAAAAAGATGCTTGTTCGCATATTGTTGTTGCTTTGATGTTTCTATCAACACTTCTGAGAGTCTTTCCTACATGAACCTTCAGATCTATGCCGGCTCTTTCTTTGCAATTCCGTTAATTCGGTGGTTTTTCGTTCAAAACAAAAATGCTAAAATCGTTCAAAGGAATCGTGCCAGGGAACAATGGGCCAGGGCTTTAGAATCACCTGGTCTTTCTTTAAGGCGGAAGGTAAACACCATTGATGAGTTATTCAATTTAGTCGAAGTCCTCTTCACTTTTTAACGTTTATCGGTTTCTGTAACCTTAATTGCCGTAGATTGGTATTAATTTACTGAATGATAACCTTCTCTTCTCGTTCTACTATCTGTTCTGGTGGTTTCAAATAGTTATGAGCACAATGTTTTTCCTCCCTTCACTTTAGCAAGATATGAATTTGAAATTTAATTGTATTTTGATTTCATAATACTGCCCCAAGTCTTAGTCTTCACATATGATACTTTTTCAGCTTTTAAGTGCTCGGGACATGGCACAGCGGACATTCATTGGACAGGATAGAATTGTCTATAGTACGGAGAAGGATTTATATGACCAGGATTACGAGGCCCGGGAATGGGATTTGAGATTCAAGGAGATTGAAAAATCTGACTAGTCAAGATTTTCTGTAAATTTTTGTTCACAATAGGGATACTTATACTATTCATTACATGCAAATGCAAGCAAGATCGGTCTTTGTCCATAAACCGTGGTCACAGTTTGTGAATGAGCTTCAGCTGTATGTTGTTCTATTTGTAATGTTGCAATATGGATGCGAGTTGCGACTTATAATCACTTTCATCATTCCCCTTTCCCATAATACCTGTGTTCAATTCTATCTTCAGAAATTACTTGGTTGAAACTATTCAGTGAAATAAAGTTACATCAAAAGGCAAATTAATTTGGAAGAACAATAAGAAAATAATTAATTTAGATGAGATTATAAACTAGCATTTATTTTCACCAGTCACCACATTATTTTGGCAACATTTGCATGCAAAATCGACGTGGAAGCAGAAAACCACAAAACCCCAAACACCCCTCCACCCACACTACCAAAGCCAACACGTAAAGGCCATGCACCCTTACACACCCACCATAAATAACCCCCTCCACACTACACAATCCTCACCAATATCACACACACTCTCATCAAACTAAGAAAAAAAGTCATCCATGGCAGGCATGAAGATAGCCCTGACGGCAGCCCTCCTTGCGGCCCTTGTGACCCTATCAGCCGCCACCACCTACACCACCACCGTGACCACCACCACCTTTGCCGACGAGACTGAGAACCCAGGCCAGCAGCAGCAGTGCCAGCGCCAGATTCAGGGCCGCCAATTCCGGTCGTGCCAGAGGTACCTCTCCCAAAGGGGAGGGTACAACTCAGAGGATGAGTCCATGATGATCGAGATGAACCCGGGACAACAAGGGCAGGAGTCTCTGAGAGAGTGCTGCCAGCAGCTCCACAACGTGAACGAGCAGTGCCGGTGTGAGGCCATTAGGCACGCCGTCAGGCAGCTTCAACAGCAAGAGGGCCAGCAGATGGGCCAATCCCAGCAGGTGTACCAGAAGGCAACTGAGCTCCCGCGCAGGTGCAACATGAGGCCTCAGCAGTGCCAGATCAGGGTTGTCTTCGTGTAGATGTCATGCGCCAGTTCGTGTTGATGGTCATAATAATAGTGGTTGAGTTTTTGTGAG